TTTACCTGGACCCTGAAGAACCTACCTTTTTGAGGGTTCCGTATAATGAATTCTTTATATAAGTCCTTCAAAAAGCTAGGTTCTTTGGGGTTAAGGTAGGGTTTAGGGGTTTAGGGGTGTGGGGTTTAGGGCTTTAGGGTTTTAGGACTTTAAGTTTTAGGGTTTGGAGATTAGGGTTTGGGGCACTGGGGCGCTTGCGGGGAATTTAAGGCCTTTCACAGGTCTAAGGGTTTAGGGCTCAGGTTTACGGTTTAGGGTTGAGGGCTCTGGGTAACCAGGGCCTCTCGGGGTTTCACCAAGGTTGTTCATGCAGCCTTTGTTCTAGCCGCTCTTCCTTAGGTAACTTGCGGGTTCTGGGGGATACTAAAGCCCTAAACCCAAACCCTAAACCCTACACCCTAAAACCCTAAAGCCCTAAACCCTAAGCCCCAAGCCTGTGAAGCCCTAAACCCTGAATCCCTAAAGCCCTAAACCCTAAAACCCTAAACTGGGGGCCATGGCTGGCGGTTTAGTGGACCGAGGTTTACAGGTAAGCGCTGTGAGTTCATGGTTTTTCTTTGGGATCAGGCTTGCGCGTCGCCTTGGGGTTTTCGCGTCCGAAACCTCCCCCCAAACGGAGATCACTTGAGGGTGCAGGGTTTAGGGTTTAGGCATCAAAATCGCATCTTGTACTGAATCCGAAGATACCGAAGCCGTCCATCCTGAACCACGCAGCCCCAGTCCCCCAAAACGAGCAAAAAAGCCCTAAACCCTAAACCCCTACGAGCTTTTGTTGCAAAACTGTGCTTTGTCAAACCTTCCTCAGCAACTTGCCGGGCTCTTCTACAACAGTTTAGGGTTTAGGGGTTTAGGGGTTAGGATGGCCTAAACCCTAAACCCTATACGTAGGGTTTAGGGTTTAGGATGACATGAAAAAAATTCGATCCTCGTCGCAGCGGCTTTGGTCCAAAGGAGGGAAATGCATGGAAGAGGCGGTGGGCCCGAGAGTAAAGGCAAGCACATTCGCACAATTCGGACTGGCATAGGGCTCTAGGGTTTGGGTTTAGGGATTCTGAACTTGCCAACTTCATTGAGAATTTTGTCAGTGTTCTGGCATGTGCTGCTATCGTCGTTACCAGTAGTACCAGTAGTGTTACCACTGATACTTTCACAGGATTCGGTAATCCCCGGATCGAAGCATGCATTTGAGTTTCGGTGCTTTTGCTTAGGGCTTAGTAGGAACACGATGTGCCTCAGAACAACATGTTCTGTCAGAGTCAGAAAGTATCGTGACGAGGTCGCTTCGCGCTTAGCCGTTGACAGCGAAAGTTTCATTGCATGGCTTCGAAGATGCCACCCGTGCTACTTCACCTGGTTTGGCTGCTTGCCGGCATGTCCCTGGCGCAGGAAGATATTGACGTATGCACCCACATCAAGAACAGCTTGGGCGCTGAGACGTGTGTCGATACTCTTGAGTCTGGTTTTAAAGGTTTCCGCTTGAGCGGGACTGTCGAAAATCCTTTGAAGTATGCGGGCCTTGGCTTCGATGACAACATTGCAGGGGGAGCCACACCTGGAGCCATGAACGTCTGCATGCTGGCCGCCTTTGGGAACGGCGGGGTTGTGCCAGACGCCTGCGTTCCCACCTCCGGAACCGAAGCAGCGGAGTGGAACGGACGGCCGGGGTTACACTACTTCGGCATGCTCGGCTTCCCTTGCGGCTTCAACTTCAGAGCCTTTGAGGAGGGAGAGACCTTGGACTGGACCTTTCCGACAGGGAACACCTGTATCGGGGACGTGGATCTAGATGTGGGCCTCACATCCCTGGTCTGCATGTTTGAAATGGCCTGTGAGCTCGGAACTACGACCACAACGACTGCCACAGGTTTCGCGATAACGAGCACATCAACAAGCACCCTCTCCTTGACAAGCAGTTCGACAGCAACTCCAACAACCAGAACAACGTCCATCTCAACAGCAACAACACCACCGGGCAGCACAGCGATGTCGACACTGTCAACTTCGACGACGACATCTTCTGCCGCATTTTCCACCACGGCCATTCCCGTCATGTTGACTACCACGCCCGGCACCTCCTCTACGGTCACGCTCACAGATGGTGTTCCCGTCCTGCTGACTACGACACCGACCCCTTCCTCCACGGTCACGCTCACAGACAGTTCGACAGTTGCCTTTACAGTCACTGGCACCACTGCTACAGTTACATCGAGTGTGACCACGACGTCCACCGCCACAAGCATGGCCGTGGCGCAAACCAGCAACACCTCCACGACGACATCAGTTGCTAGTCTGGAAACATCTGTATCAACAACGATGACAAGTACGATCCGCACGACCACGCTCACAAGCACCACCGAGCTGATGGTATCACCAACAAGCTCTTCGCAATCCTCCAGCACCATGACTGCCACTGGCAGCGATGACAACGTAACTGCGCCACCTTGCTCAGAGGCGGGTTGCCAAGGTTGCACACAGGGATCATTATTGTCATTATTATTATTCATTATTAGTATTGTTTGATATTATTATTATTACTATTATTATTATTATTATCATTATTGTTGTTAGTATTTATTTTTGGGATCCTTCGAAAGTAGCCTCGGGACAGATGTCATTCTTAGCCCCCGTGGCCTTGAAACGGTTCCAGGCGCCGGTGGTTCCCAACAGTGCAGACTTGACCTACTGCCGCTGGGCTGCTGAGCAAGTTGTTAGTTTTCCCGCAGCCGATGCCAACAGCCCTAATCCGAAAATCGTAAGTGTTGCTTAAACTCTAGGCCGAAACCCACATGCTACGCCTGAAGGTTTGTCGCCCACGAATGCTCTAGTGATGCCGAAACATCAACCAGTCATGGTATTTGAGGGAGCTTTCATAGGCACGAGTCGAAACCTATGACGAAGAGAAAGACTGCTGCGACGACGCTTAGAGTTCAGGGCTTGTGCAAGGTTGAACCTCAAGCAGCACAAGTGTTCCGATCAGTACGAGCGACACACCATTACAACCGATTGCAATCGACGTTGCCGCAATGCATTAAGCACCACTCGTCGAACAAGGTTGAGACAATAGTCAATAGTCATGTCCAGGTACTGCACGAATCATATCCTACCATCGCGCAGCGATACCTTAGGATTCGCGCCAATGCACTCGTGGAAACTTCCAAGGAAGGTGTATCGATTTGTTGGTAAGCAGTAGTTTTCTGACCCTAGTTGCTCACGCTGTTCGTGGTGGTAGCAGCAGCAGCAGCAGCAGCAGCAGTAGTACCACGACGCCGGTAGTACTAGCACCGCTAGTAGTACTGCTGCTGGTGTACTTCAAACACTACAAAGTACTGCCTCCTCCTCCTCCTCCTCCTACTAATTACTACTACTACTACTACTACTGCTGCTGCTGCTGCTGCTGCTGCTGCTGTTATTATTGCTACTGCTACTGCTGCTGCTACTGCTACTACTACGACGACGATGCCGGCGGTCGCGACGACGAGGACGACAACTACTGCTACTGGTGTTTCTCCTGCTGCTGTGATAGCGACGACGACACATGCTGCTGCTGCTACCGTACTTGTAGTCCCGATGATGGGTGACTTCTACGCTGGAGCGAGGTTGTGTATGTCAGCCAGGGTAGCCCAGACTCCACTCCCAGATCCTGCAACCGATATCGGAAAGTCCTGAATGCCTAAACCCTCAAATCTCCAAAGCCTGAACCGGCCAATTTTCACGACATGACAGGTCAGGGATCGCCACACGGATCAGCCTGCGATGTGCGATGCATAGACGGCTTTGCGCGAGCTGACGGAGCTGATCTCGCGTTTTGCCAGGTCCCGCAACGGGTTCGGATTTTGAGCTTTGATCCGTTTGTTTTCATCAGATTCAACCTCAGTGTAATTGGTCCATAAGGTTTCGAAGAAAAGGCTTAGGGATTCAGGGTTGTTTGGGTTTGAGGGTGTTGAGAGTGAGCTTGCATGCTTGATGGCATACTTGCAGGGTTTGGGGTGTCCGCCTTCGTTGAAAGTATTTGGGGGCATGAGTTGTTTAGTTGGGTCGTGCGGGGCATGAGATGTGTTCAGAGAAGACGCAGGGTTTGACAGTTTGACGTAGCTGGGATGGGAAATCCGCAGCTGCAGCCCTTTGAACCCGTGAAGTTTGGTACCGACATGGGGTTCCGACTTCCGGAGGAATCGACACCATGGACCACACCCCCAGGGCTGTGCATCCTGTCAATGTATCTGAGGCTTCAAAGCCTGGATGACGGCCCCCTAAACCCTAAACCCTAAACTCGGTGGCTCAGGGTTTAGGTCTCGGAGGTTAGGTTTACTTTACAGTTAAGATAGAAGCCTAAATCATTGGTAAGATTTTCCTTCATCGTCCCTCAAAATAGACATAGTACAATATATACCCCCATATCTAAATCAAGGCCCTTATGCCAGAGAACGAAAACCCTTGTTTTGCCGGGGTCGGGCCATCAGGACGGACGCTGGCGCGTGCAGGGCGAATGCCTCAAGGAGGATGCCGAGGTAGTCCAGAGCGCTGCGGTGCAGGTCGTGCTTGAGGTGGGGTCGACCGCATCGATTTTGGGTTTCCGGTTTGTATATAGGGGTTGGGGTTCAATGTTTAGTCTCTCAGGCCCCTTGAAAGACCGAGATGCATGCCACATTCCCGGATAGGGGCGGCGAAAGCCCCCGAAGCTCTACTGTGCGTAGATGAGTTAAACACAAAAGGAGCTAGTCCGCTGCCGCCCTGCCACAAGAAAGCTGTCAGGAGCAGAACGACCCAAAGAACAGACGTCGCTAGGATTCGATGCGCAGAAGTGTGTGGGCAGCCGTAGGATAATACATGTGGCAAATGTTCTAAGGATCGAATTCGAAAATTCGAAGCACAACAGTCGAGCGCACATGCTGCCAGCCGCACAGTCAGTTCATTCTGTAGGGGTCAGGTCTCGCTACAGAGGGTTCAGTGCTAAACCCCGCAGTTGTGAGCTTAGAAGCTTGTCGCCGAGGACATCCCAAATTGGAGCTCCCAGCCAAAACTTCTCAACGGCATCTGATGTTGCAACTGATACTCCAGCCTAAATATCTTTCATGCTTCTCCCCAGCTTTGCCCCAAGCAACCTAACAGCCCTAAACCCTAAATCCTAAACCCTATCCTAAACCCTAAACCCTAAACCCAAAACCCTAAACCCTAAATCCTAAACCCTATATCCTAAACCCTACCCTAAAGCCTAAATCCTAAACCCCAAACCCTAAACCCAAAACCCAAAACCCTAAACCCACAACCCTAACAACCCAAAACCCCAAAACCCTAAACCCACTGTTGCAGGTGGCTCTGGACCTTCCAGAAGCAGCTCGGCCCCTTTTGTCCTAAACCCCCAATTCCTCAAACCACGCGCAACCCCAAACCCTAATCCTCTAAAACCGGTTTAGGGTTTAAGGTTTAGGGTTTAGGGCTTAGGGTGTAAACCCGTAACCCCTTAAACCATCCAAAACCCCAAACTATAAAACCTGAACCCCTAAACCCCTCAACCCTAAAGCCCTAAACCCTAAGGGTTCTAAAGCCTGGCCCGTCAGAGCACAACTCCTAACCTGGATTTGGGTATAGAGAACTCCGGAAAGTCGGAACATGGACTTGGGATGACTGATGCTTGAATTCCATCTGGTTCACCTTGAGAGCATGGGGATGATGTCGTTCCAACTTTCTGGCTTCTACTGTCGCAGTAGCATAGGTCCCCATTGGGGTCTGAAAACCCTAAACCCTAAATCCTAAACCCTAAACCCTAAACAGTGTGGCCCACACCATGGCATTCTTACGTTCAGTGGAGAGAGACTTGGCTCCGCTGAGCGCAAGGGGCGCCTTTCGGTGCGTGCGCTGCGGAAGGTTCCGCCAGCTGCTGCTGTGTCATGGTGAGGTGTGGATGATTCCGCCAGAACCCAGAGACTCCAATAACCCTTAATTAAGGAATATACCTTAAATCTTATTTGGGGTTCCTATTATAATTTAAGGTATATGCCTTAATTAAGGGATATTGGAGTCTCTGGGAACATGGGGGGAAGCAGCGCCGAATGGCACGTGGGAAGGTTGCGATAAACACTGCGCGGGCGAGGTGTCTCGGGCAAGCTTCCACCAATTGCCGCAGTGGTCAGGTATCTTTGCATCGCCAGTACATAGGTAGTTCTTTAAATTAGGGTCCGTTTTAGGGCCCTTTTTTCCAAGGGTGCCGTAGTATTTTGGGGACCTGCAAAGGGGACCCTA